ATCTCCATACATTTTAGCGATATGGTAATATTTTTTTATAATTAATGTTAATATTTATTGTTATGTTTAATTTAAATTTATATTAATTTTAATTTTTTATAATGCATATTATTTAGGATACTGATCGTATTTTAGAGACATTTATTAAAAATCCACGTATACCGACACCGGAACGTATTTTGTCATTTTTGGCTTCTGCCGGGTTCGGATATATTGCAACAATCATTGGCGGTTGCAAACTCGAACCTGTCCTAATTTCTGCATTGATTGAGAGGTGGAGGCCCAAGACACACTTTTCACCTTTCATGTGGAGAGGCTACAATTACATTGGAGGATGTCTCTATGCATCTGGGGCTTCCCGTCGACGGAAATATGATGTGTGGTATGGCGGATGGTGATTGGCAGTCAATGTGCATTGATTATCTTGGAGCTGCTCCGCCAGAGTTTAATGGAGGTAGAATAGCTTTATCTTGGTTGAAAGCTAATTTTGAGGTTTTAAATGAAAATGCTCCAGAGGATAAAGCAAAGGCATGTGCTCGGGCATATATTCTACGAATAATTGGAGGAATATTGATGCTCGACAAATCTCGCAACCAGGTGCATTGTATGTGGTTGCGGCATCTGATCGATTTTGATGAAGCTGAAAGATATAGTTGGGGCGCTGCAGTTTTGGCATTTCTCTTTAGAGAAATGTGTCGGGCGACGAATTATAAGAAAACTGCTATCGGTGGATGTCTCCTGCTTCTGCAATCATGGGCGTGGTTCCGCATGCCTTTCTTATGCCCGATCGTGAATGAACCATACGTATTCCCCTTATTGTTGAGGTAATTATCGAACTAAATTTTGATTTAAATATTTTTAATTAAATAGGGTGATATTTAGTTTATATTATATTTCATAGGTGGTCGATGAAAAGAAAGAACCATAGAAGTATACCTACTGGGTTAGAGGAAATTCATCTACTTATCAATACAAAAACTGGGCCTGAGGTATGTTTTTACACCTGTTTAAATATTAATATTTTAATTTAAAATGTTAGATATAATTAGAATATTTTATTTATTTGAATTGTATATTTATATTTCAGTTTCAATGGATACCTTATGCGAGCGATGAAGTGAAGGCTTGCATCCCACCTCACCTTGGTGGGTCATTAGAGGTTTGGATATCGGTTATACCTCTTATATGTTATGTTATTATTGAGTGGCATCCAGTTGATCGCGTGCTCCGTCAGTATGGTTGTACGCAATATATTCCTGGAGCACCTAGGAATTTAGACGACGTGCATAACATAGATAGACGAGGAAAAAAGATGTTAACTGGGTGGTGAGACACATAGATTGAATTGCGCTTTGGGAGAACCGGTATGCACAGTTGGCCCATCGACAATATTACGCTGAAACTGGTTATATGGTTACGGATAACTATATGGACTGGTTTAATGAAAATGGGAAGCCGTTTCTACTTTCGACGGAAGCACGAGGGGTTAGCATTCCTAGGCGCCGAGAAAGACGTCAACCGTCTCAATATCATCGTCCTCCGACGCATGGACGGAGAGAAGGGGCTACCGGTTCTGCATCAGTCCCACCACAACATCCTTATCCACCAATGCCACAATGGTACATGCCCAACCTTCCACTTCAGATGCCATCTCCTCAGGGGTATATGCCAAGCCCACCAGATCATATGTCATCTCCGCAGGGTTACATTCCTAGCCCGCCAGGTTACATGTCTAGCCCGCAGGGTTTTATACCATATGGAGGTGCATATACGGCTATGTTTAATGATCCAGCATATGGTTCATATGCATCTTATTTGGCTGGTTTTGCTTCTCCTCAAACACCTCAATCTCCATATGGATCACAGACATCGATGCCAATGTTTCCATAGTTTTCACAGTTCTCGGGGAGCGGTGGGATGGTTACTAACACTCCTCCAGGGTCGTTATTTTATACAGGCCCTTCAGCCCCTTCAGCGTAATCTATGCCAAATGAAGAAAATGCCGATGATGATGATAGTGAAGATGAGGAGACTGAATAACAAGTTCCACGAAGAAATCCTCCACGAAATAGACAACCACCGCCATGTGGAACTCATTCGAGAAGACGACATCGGTGATCCAGTTGTATTTTAATGTTATTTAAATAGTTATATTTCAGAAATTTATGTAATTTGGTTATGTTATTTAAATGTTTCATGGTTGTTACTGTCAATATTTTAATGTTATTTTTTTATTCAAATTTAACATTAAATGTTTAATAAATGTTTTTAAAATACAAATTATAGTATTCGAAATTTAAAATTAAAATACAAATAATATTATTCGAAATATAAATTTAAAATATAAATGATAGTATTCCAAATTTAACATTAAATTCAAGTTAATATTCCAATTGTATTCGAAATTAAAAGTTATATTCCAATTATAGTTCATAGTACTTAAATTAAAATTAAATTTATCCATACATATGATTTTATCATTAACATATATATTAAAACGTATACATTAAAATCAACTTATCACTTCACATTTATTCGTAAAACATGTCGATGCTCATTCCATACAATTTCAATGTCACAATAAACTTATCACTTCACATTTATTCAATTTATCCATAACATTTTATCAAATTTATTCAAACTTCACATAACGTTTTAATTTAAGTTATGAACTTAAATTTATCTATATATATAATTTTACCCTTAGCTTGCTGAACTTCCAAAAGAAGTTAAGTGTTGGTTATAATTTACCTGATTTCACCATCCATCTATAGTTCCCCAGGAACGCGCCCCCGAGAACGCGCATTCACGGTCCCCTAAGGAATAATAGGTATTGACATTAATAGTTCCCGGAGAACGCGCCCCCGAGAACGCGCATTCACGGTCCCCCAAAAAAAACCTAAATATTAAAAATATAATATATTAAATTAGGGTAAATTGCATGTTTAGTATCTAAACTATTATTTTTATTCTGTTTTGATACTCATACTTTATGTTTTTCCAAGACCATACCTAATGTTTTGTTTAAGATTTAATTTGGCACCTCGCCGTTAAAAACTTAACGGTGATGTTAACGTGTCACCATAAAATAATGACACATCATCATTGATAATTTTAAAAATACCACATCAACAAATTTGTTATTTTTTTTTTAACGGCGGAGTATCAAATTGAAGCCTAAAATAAACGTTAGGTATAATTTTGAAAATAAATAAAATTTAGGTATCAAAATGGAACAAAAACACTAATATAAGTACTAAACGTGTAGTTTATCTTATTAAATTATTAAGTTTGATCCCCTAAATAAACTTTTATAATAAGTTATTAAATTTGATCGACCAAAAAAACGTATATACTATTTTAGAATTCGAAAACCACTTAAATATCATTCATTAAAAGAGATAACATTTATTTTTTCTATTATTATTTTATTTTTAAATGAATGAAAATCCATTTTTCTTTGTCATTTTCGATTTTAAAATACATTTTTTCTTATGTTTTTATCCGTTTGATTTTTCATTTTCTTTGAGTTGTATATCTTCTTTGAGTTCAAGTATTAAACTTTTAATTTTATTTTGGTTGAAGATAATTTTTTTAAAAAATTTTAATTCAATTTATATTTACGATTTTATTTCAAATAAATATATATCTATTATGTGGATTCATAAAATTTTATCTCCAGATCTAAAAATTTAGACATAATTTTAAATAATATTATTATCGATGTATTTTGTTTCTTAGAATTTTTATGTAAACAAATAAATTTTAAATATTTATAAAATTTTATTTTGCTAATATGTTATTTTAATATGTAATTTACATTAAAAAGATATTAAAATACTCTAATTAATATATACAAACAAAATTAAATAGTCTCCTCAACAAATAATATCATGTTACGTCTCTGAGGCCTCTAAAGATGGAAGTGACGTATAAAACCGACATCCATTCTTGCTGCAAGAGAGAGCGTGTTTAGTTATAGCAAATTAGGCCACAAAATGTGAAACTATAACAAAGTGAGAAAAATTAGGTAATGTACTTGTTACAAGTGAAATTTTTGCCACCTCTACTAGCACCCTTATAAATTTAGGGCAAATTAAGTAATCAAACGGTCTTCCTTATAAATAAAGAAAATTCTCAAACGGATGGAATTCAAGCATTAGAAAATTTGTTTAAATGGCAATCATTTCTGAATCTTTTTCCCCCTCACACAACCAAAGACTCGTATACACACAATAACTTATATAAAAAATTCAATATTAACCTTATTATTTAAAATTTTCAAAAATATTTTTATAAGGATTTAATTTATAGAATCATAAATTAATCTCTTTCCATCCACCAAATATCTCAAATATTATTATTATTTTTCAACATTATCGCATTTCACCTAAATCTATCTCGTGCTGTTGTTTAGTTTTATTCCAGTGGTTTTGCAGTGTGTGGTTGGTTCTCAGTTAGGCTTCTTTTCTTTTTGTTGGATTGCCTGTGTTTAGTTTCATTGTGTGTTGGAACGGGATTGTGGTAGGACCGGGTTATCGTCTGAATGTTGTTAATGTTTATGTGTATCAGTTTCTTATCACTACATTTTTTTTTCTCTATTTAAGATTAAATTTTTTTTAATGAGATCTTTGAGGTGATGTACTTTATTTATCATTAATACAAAATATCATCTTTCAAAAAAAATTATTTCATACTCTTTTTATAAACTTTTATCATATAATAAATTATTAATCTTTCAAGATTTATAAGGAGTTATTTCAAATTCAATAATATATATTTTAATATTTATTGATTAATCTCTACATCATTATTTCTATTAATTAACAGTCAAATCTAATTTCAGGAGCTAATACATAAATGAAACGTAATTTACAATGGAATAAATGGGTGATCAAATAAGTAGTTTACCAAATAGAAAATCTTCAAAACCAAAGCCTCGTGTCCCCTTCTCCGCCTTTCTCCGGTCGTTATTGTTTTTCCCATCTCCTTTCTTTAGATTTTACTCTTCTCTATTTACGCCTTTCTACCCCCACAAATTTCATTACAATTCCTCCAAAGTTATCTGTTTTTCAATTTGATATTTTTCTCTTCTCGCTCTATCCACTTCGGGTGAGGTCAATCGTTTCAAGATCTTTCTATCTGTTCTCCGTTTGGCTTTATTTTCTTTGGAATTGACTGATTTTTGGATCTTCCAGGTTCGAGAGAGAAGAGATAAAGAATCTAGAGAAAAAGAGGGTAAAATGGCTCATAGAGCAGATCATGAGTACGATTACCTTTTCAAGATTGTGTTGATCGGCGATTCTGGAGTTGGAAAATCAAATATTCTCTCTAGGTTCACTAGAAACGAGTTTTGTTTGGAATCGAAATCCACTATCGGCGTCGAGTTCGCGACTAAAACCCTCCAGGTTTTTCATCTATTCAATCGACTCATCTTTTATTCATTTCCATGTATGTTTTTTTAGTTTCTTTTCTTTTATTCTGCTAAAAAGGATTTGTTTTACGAAAATTCTATTCACCTTTGATGTTTTGAGGTGTTTGTATACTTCTGATCTGATTTAGTTCCGGAAATTTTTGCATGTTTAAGTTGATTGTGAATAGTAAATAGAAAGTAATCTTAATAGATATTGTCTGACGAATCCGATTGCCGTCTCTCTTGCTATGATTGTAACTTGGAAGTTCATTTTGAATGATTTGTATTAAGGTGAGAGAAAAAGGTTACTGGATAGTGGTGATTGTCAAAAGTGATTTAACTTGTACCTTGGAAGTTCATTTTGAATGATTTGTATTAAGGTGAGAGAAAAGGGTTACTGGATAGTGGTGATTGTCAAAGGTGATTTAAGTTGTACCTTGGAAGTTCATTTTGAATTATTTGTAGTGATGTGAGAGAAAAGACTCCCGGATAGTGATGATCATCAAAAGTAATTTAAGTTGTACTTTTACACTGAAAGCCTGAAATCAAATAGTTGAGTCAAGAGATTGTTCCGTTTGTGTTTTAGGAACTGATTGCATATAAGATGTGTTTGAAAGTTGATCAATTTAAGGGGTTCTTTAGAATAAGAGGTGTATGAAGGATGAAAAATTTGTTAATCAAATTGTTATGATTCATAACAAATTCTTCATCCTTTAAGGTTAGTTAATATATTATCAAAGTAACAAATATTGTATTAAATGAAGTGGCGTTGTCAACTTTAATCTCCATTTCAAATATATTGGGTAAGATATTACTATGCCCAGTAAGCATAAATGGTGCTCTCTAGCAAAATCTTTTATTAGCAAAGCAACTAAGCCGGAAGGATGAGAAAGCTTTTTGTTAGTGAGAAAACAAGTAAACATCCTGTCGGCAATCTTTCTTTGTCTTCATTATTGTACTAATCCAAGTGATTCTTAGGTGGTTTAATTCTCATTTGTAATAATAGGAAGTATGTGCGTTTTCCAGCCTGTCATATTAGATTCTTTAGAACCTTCTTTGGGTTCTTTGTTTACTACCAGTCATTGGTGGAGTAGTGTTGTAAATTATTGTTGGTTCATATTTTGTTATTGTTTTCCTTTATACAGGTCGAGGGAAAGACTGTTAAGGCACAAATTTGGGATACGGCAGGTCAGGAGAGATATCGAGCTATCACCAGTGCTTACTACAGAGGGGCTGTTGGTGCACTTCTGGTATATGACATAACGAAGAGGCAAACCTTTGATAGTGTTCAAAGGTGGCTTCGTGAATTGAGGGACCATGCAGATTCTAACATTGTCATCATGATGGCTGGAAATAAATCTGACTTGAATCATCTCAGAGTTGTTTCTGAGGAGGATGGTCGTGCTCTGGCAGAGAGGGAAGGTCTTTCTTTTCTCGAGACATCAGCACTGGAAGCAACCAACATTGAGAAGGCATTCCATACTATATTGAATGAGATCTATCATATCATAAGCAAAAAGGCATTGGCAGCCCAGGAATCAGCAGCTAGTGACATAATTCCCGGCCAAGGAACTACCATTAATATCAACGATGCATCGGGAAACACTAAGAAAGGATGCTGTTCTACTTAAAAGGGTGACAGACAGGTTACATTTGAGAAGGTAAAAAATATTTGCTAGGAAGTAGACCCTTATTTGGTTTTATGTCAATTTTTGGCTTAGAGAGACGCATGTAGAATACATATTCATTTACTTAATTGTGATAAGAAAGCTTGTGATGTTTTGGACAACCACACGTTTGTTAGTCTAGTAGCAATAGAATGGAAAGGCCTGGTTTTACCTTACACTTCTGTTCTCAACATGTGTTACCTCAAAAATGGTGACTTGGAATTTTAGGTGGGAAGCTAATATTAGAAGGAAAAGAACCCCAAGTGGTTCTCTCTGATCATTAAGTGGCGTGTATTAAAAGTGTCCCCTGATATTTCACAGCATGTATGGCTTATTTAAAGTGTATGGACGTGAGAATTGAAAGGGTACAAGTATTGATATTTAAAGTTGGGCTGCTTCACCAAAAATAAAAATAGACATGAAATATTGGTAGGTATCAATGGTGGCATGCTCTGCATGAACAAGTAGCGGTCGTAAGCATAACAAACTCGAACGTGCTGTCCATTGACAGTTGAGGCTAATGGAGAATAAAACCAAGTGACCGCCCGATAAGGATGCGCATTACAGGATCTCATGCAAGTCCGTTGACTCAATACTCATCATTTATTTTATATATCGCTATGTTTATGGTATCAAAAACATCTGGTCACAATATTCAGAGGATCAAATTATTGAACTTTCAAAATATAAAATTTTATGAAATTACTAAACTCAATATTTAAAAGATAAATTTTAATTTATGAAATATTTAAATTAGTATTAGATTTAAAAAATTTGGAGGCTCAATTCCTTTCACCCTTCTTCAATTTCGTCATTGGTCCAAGATCTTTTATATTTTAATCTAGTAAATGATTATTCGAACTTGAAACTCGATGAGTGTTTATTGTAATTATAAAATATATTATATTATTAAAAATTAAATTTGAATTTAAAATTCAAACATAAAATGTAAAATGAACACAAACGAGAGGCAGAATGAGTGATACTATATCTAAACTTTGTGATCTTTTGTTGTTTTCTTTTTTCCAGGTGACATTCATGGGCAGTACACTGATCTTCTGAGGCTTTTTGAATTATATATTCCTGGGGGACTACGTTGATCGTGGCAAACACAGTTTGGAAACAATATGCCTTTTGCTCGCCTATAAGATCAAATATCCTGAGAACTTTTTCCTTTTCAGAGGGAATCATGAATGTGCTTCTATTAACCGGATTTATGGCTTTTATGATGAATGCAAACGAAGGTTCAATGTGAGACTTTGGAAATTCTTTACCGAGTGTTTTATTTGTCTTCCAGTGGCTGCTGTAATAGATGACAAAATATTGTGCATGCATGGCGACCTTTCCTCTGATTTAACAAATTTGGATCAAGTTAGGAGTTTAACCCGTCCAACTGATGTTCCTGATTCTGATCTGCTTTGTGATTTACTTTGGTCAGATCCTGGTAGTGGCATAAAAGGCTGGGGTATGAGTGATCGAGGAGTGTCATTTACTTTTGGCGCAGATAGTCTCTCTTAGTTCTTAATGAAAAATGATATGGACCTTGTTTGCCGTGCCCATCAGGTTAGGGAAATTTGCTCTGTTCTTCCTTCTTTATGTGTGTGGATGGTGTAAGCAAAGCAACTAACCATAATGTTTCTCTTTCAGGTTGTTGAAGATGGATATGAATTCTTTTCTGACAGACGGCTTGTGACAATATTTTCCGCTCCCAATTATTGTGGCGAATTTGATAATGCTGGGGCAATGATGAGCGTCGATGAAAGCCTAATGTGCTCTTTCCAAATTCTTAAGCCTGCAGATAAAAAGTCCAGTCTCGTTTGAGGAACACTACTGCTGTCTCTGTTCCTGCGCTGAATAGCTGATGTAAGTTTTAATCTCACTTTTATTAAACAACTGTATCATGTAATTCTACTCGCAAATATTTGTCACATTGATCACCTAGTTGACATATACATATTTGCAAACTGTGTTTTTTTATTTGTTATCTTTAGCCACCATTTCTTGTGTTCATATGATTTTGCCCTAGCTTCTTTTACGTTGTTTCTCAGATTATTCCATGTTTTTTTACCTTGTGTCTTTCTCAGTTGACAACCTAACCCGTGTTGTGTTTGTTGATTCTGACACATCTGGTGCAGTTTTGGTTGTGATTCGAGGAGAAATGTTCAAAGTATAGGATGCTGATGATGATATTGCAGCTCCTGTGATAATGAAATATGAGCATTTCACCCCCTACATTAAAGGGGTGCAGGCTATCTGTTTAAAGCTATTTTATAACCAGATGAAATAAAAAAGACAATACATGGTTGACAATGAACTCAACCGGTGAAATCCTCTATTCTTTTCTTTTTTAGCACGCAAGGCATTTTCAATATTTTATTATATATATTTTTTCATTGGAAAGGGAGGAAAGTTGGAGTAAATGATTACGGTTCAGGAATTAGGAATGGGGGAGAAGCTAAAGTCTTGAAAAAGCTTTTGAACTATTCCATGCTTTTGATTGTACCTAAATAAAAATTTACACTTCAATTTGAATTCAAATAAGTCTCGACTTTGAATGAAATGCTGCTTCATGTTAACGGGTATATTTTGATGTAAATTAAGGAGTTGTTTTATTTAAAAATTATATAAAAATATAAAAATAAAAAAATGTTATCATGATAATATTTATTATTTTAAAATATCAATTTTCAGTTTTTTGTTTTCAAAATGAATTTGTAGCTATTAATTTGTGTCATTAACAACCTCAACTGATAATTTCGAATGATTACCGTGATTTGAATCAATTTTTTGTTGTTGTAAATAATAGATTTAAATACCTTAATTTAAATAACTTTTAAGCATCACCTATAATACTAAATAAAATAAAAGATGAGAAAAATGAAGGGTCAAACGCTGTCGTTTCTCGAATATGAAAAGTGCTTTCGTTTTAGATGTAAAGTTTGGTAGGGATAGATTGGTTGCATCACAAAAGCATGCAGAGATGCGTACTTATTTTGGGGTTGTTGGGACAAAAAATTGGTGGCAGAGATCTACGTATAATGTGAGCAGATGAAGCTATAACGAAGACTTTCGTTTGTTTACAGTGAAAGGCACGATAAAAAAAATGGGAAATCCTTGAAAGAAACATAAACAAGACAAGAAATTAAGATGCATTTAAACAAGTAGTCTGTTAATGGCAATGCTCTTATGATAATGAGTGAAGCCAATCAAGTAAAACAAGCGCAACTTTCTTATCCTATAAACGAATACAAGTTTTCTTAGAATTAAAGGAATGGGTAACTTTTTAATCAAGGAAATATTGTTGTTTCAACTTGTCATTTATAAAACAAAGCACATTCCAATCTCACAAAGGTTATTTTGCTTCAGTTCACTCAGCTAAGCTAGCTTCATTAGAAACCTAAAAGATACAAAACTTAAGGTCTCTGGGTTTTGATCATTTTTAAGCATGCAAAATTCGAAACTTTGTTATAAATGCTGGTATTAAAATTGGTCCGTTAACATAATAGTTCCATTGAAATTAAACCACTAAATCGTAATTTTGACCCTAATAATCCACAGGAAAATGAATAAGCCCACCACCCTATTGATGAAGAGCATGTGGTAGAACCATAAGGTAAGATGTTGAATACTTTCGGGGCAAAAGCCCAAATTCACTGACATATTGTAACCCAATAATGAGAATTTTAAAAAATGAAAAAGTGGTGAAAGACAATTCATTCCCTGTTTGTATCTTCACAATACTTGTCAGCCACGAACCCAAAAGCTAAATAAAGAAAGACAAAGAATTATTGTTATTTTTAAGGTTTTGAATTTGAGCAATATAAATGTTAAGAGTATGGATATTTAATATCAAAAGTTAAAAATTATCTTTAAACATATATTATTTTATTTTTACCCTAGATTAATAATAAAAAAAAATGATTGTGTTTTGCCACTTCCAGCACAGCCAGAAGCGCTCGACACCATTTGAAAACACAGCTGGTTCAGGTTTTAGGCCTTTGGCGTTACTCTCATATTGATTTCGTCGTAATCTTTCTTTCATATTGAATGCAAAGAGATGGGTTAGGAACAAATCCAACCTGATCGGATCAATTTTTTAAAAAGATTAATTGAAAAAATTAATCGTTTTAAATTAATATTATATTATTATTTATACATTTTAAAAATAAATATAGTAATATCTATGTATTAAATAAATCTGACCTAATGCATAATCATTATAGATTTATAATAAAAATATAACAAAAAAAAGTATACATATATAAAGTGAATTAAAAACATAGAATAATGATTTTTTTGTTACATAGAATAATGAAATATTAAACATATTTAGAATACTTTAAAAAAATATGTTCAAACATATGCATGTTGCTCATGGTGTGCATGGAGTCGAAGTGAGAAAAGAAAAAGAGTTTACATTGAATTATAAGTTTTGGAGCTTAAATTTTTTGAAATTAGTCAGGATCCTTGTGATTTAATTTTTGGGGGCCTATATAGAGATGATTGTGTTTGGTAGGTTGGTTTCTATATAAGCATATGGGTTAATTATATACACGTTTTAACATTAATCCAGATCTGGTAGTGGGAATTCTCTAGACATGTTTCGATAATTTTATTGAGCTAAAAAATTACTTCAATAAATAATTCTTTGAATTTTTTAGGCACTAATTTCATAATTAATTAAAAAAACGGTACATAAGTGTAGAGAAAATAACCCACCTTTCCGTTCAATTGAACCAAAATGAAGAGAATAGGAGAGAAACAGTGATTCTATTTCTTTTCTTTTTTTTGAATAAGAAAAACAGTGAAGTTTCAAACGCCCATTACGTGTCTCTCCTTAGATCCACCACGACTACGCTGACATTGTCCGAACTATGCCTAGCCAACGCCAGCTTCGTCAACAGCATGGACGCGTCAGCGCAGGCCTTGTCTGAGATCTCTCTCCCCATCACTGACCCTTCAAGCGCCTCCCCTTCCACTCTACCCGGCGACAACAGCAGGGCGTTTAAATCACACTTCCCACCCCTTAAACACATGCGCACCAACCTGCATGCAGTATCATTGGACACTACGTCCCATAAACCGTCACTAGCAAGAATTAAAAATTCGTCGTCAACCCTCCGGTCATTAACCGTAACCTCCGGCTCACAGCTCACGTAGGGTTTCAAGTAGTTATCACCTGTGGCGTAGACAATGTTTCAGGTAAGCAGGATAGGATATTTAAAAGAGAATGAAAATTTACTTGAGTGCTTTAAATTTTACCTATGGCTCTGGACATCGCGAGGACTCCCAGAACTCGAGGACCATCCCAGAAAATGACCCGACCTCCCGCTTCTTCGATCCGATTTAGTTCATCCGGACGATCTGGCTATTTACATGCAAGGGGACAAAAACAGGTTTATTTATTTAACATGATATAATAAAATTTACTCCTAATTCAAAATTTAGTTGTTGAAACAGCCAGAAAAAATCCAAAACCATCGGGTTCAGATGTCTTGTTTCCGTATGATACGCATAGAGGCCGGTGCACTGCACTTAATACATGCTCTACATTAGGCTGCCTAGAAATTACAAGGAATAAAAAAAACATTTTCGGGGAAAGTCTTATTTCTTAAAGCAAGTTGTTTGGTTAACTAGAAATATGGTGAAAGCTAAGAAAAATTTTCTTGCGGAATTTCTCAAGCTTTAAGCCGCTAACTACCGTGCGTATTAACCTTGTGATCAGACGATAAAGGAACAGGCTTGCCGTTACGACACAAAACAGCTCTCGAATCACCACAGTTGGCAACTACTACTTTATCAGGCGTTAGAATAGCGACAACAGCGGTAGATCCAACGGCATCACACTCGGGAGACTGTAACTCGCATCGGCAATTAGCACCATCCAAGCTTTCGTTCCATTTTATTGCTTCCTTATCCATGCGCGTGAAGCTACGTTCCATTGCTCCTTTCCATTCCTCCTCGCTGACCAGCTCTTCTTTCACCAGTTCGTGTAACCGTTCTTTGCACCTTATTGCCACCTAACAATCAAAACCGCCAAGCAATATTCAATTTCATCTGAAAATAAGTGAACAGTAACATCAGCATATTTTAAAATTTTAAGGATCGTACGTGAGAGCAACCGTGACCGTCATATACGCCAAAATAGTGGAAGCCACTGGCGGAGGGGTCCTGGCCTTGGCGGTGGAAAGACGGATGAATAGCGACGGCGTCTTCCATGTCCCTTCTCCTTCCACAAACCGAAGCGACGCCAAACTTAGGATGTAAACCTGAATCGTTCACAGGATTCAATAGCGAGGGACTCGAGTGACTTTTCATTATCGTTCCGTTCGTTTCCGATCTTCCATTTTTAGGTATAACCGTTCGTTTTCTGTCCTCATCAGAAGCAGAAATTTCATTAGCGTTTTCGGAGTCTAGAAAAAATGATGCCTCGTAAACTTGCATCTTCTTGCGTTTCCTGCTGTTTTCAGCTTCCGATGAAGCCATGTCCACGATTTTAATTCGTCTAATCTCCATTCTACGTCTCCTTGCTGCGCGCGAACTCGGCTCGTACGGTATTGTTGCTTGCCCTTCGTTCACCACTCTGCGGCAGATCTCCGCCATTAGAATAACTAAGACCACACCATTATTAATATAAAAACGATCATATATTACTCCTAGTCAAGCTTTATTCTATTTTCCAAATAAGAGACCAACGAAAAAATGAATACGAAAATGAAATAGAAAAGGACTGTGGCGCTGTCTACAGAGAAGCATTTAAACTAAACAGAAGAAACTTTGGGTTCAGAAAGAAGCTGTTTCTTTGGGTTGCCACTGCAGAGTGCCCGATATCTTCTCGGGCAGACCATAAAACATGTAGTACTCTAATTTGGAAAGAAGCTCATCTCCACCGCTGATCTCACATCTCTCTTCTGTTTCAAATCAACCACGTGTTTCTGTGATCCAATCAGGTCTCAACAGCGCTCAACAAAGCAACTTCCTTTCCTGACACGCATGTGGTCCTACCTAAAACACTTTTATTTTCTTCTTCCCATTTTGAACTATTTAGATATGAGAAAGAAAATAAGAAAGATATTTATTTTTAATATATTCGAGATCCTATCCATGTGTCGTAATTGTGAATTATGAGACTGCATGATCTCTCTCTCTCTCTCTAAAGTCCGCTCAAAATTCCAACTTTTTCCCACTTACGGCGTCGTGGCCCAATGAAATTCATTCACGTATGAGTTGCTGATATTGACTCGCGGGTCCCAGTGTCCATATTTGACGCCTATATTGAATATATATCTAAAGAATCCTTTGGTGCCCATTAATATAGAACACGTGTCTATACCCGACCCGGATAATTTAAAAGAATTCACTAGGAAATGACCCTTTACCTTACACAAGTTTCAAAAGTTGGAGCATCTTTTCGAGTAGGCAGCAACAAAATCCCACAAACTATATTCTGCAGGAAACGTGGGAGTTGATGATTGGACAACGTGTTCAGTGAGAGAGGAGATTAAGGTAGAGCGGGGACCACAAGTGAGGAGAGAACCCCAGGTACACGCGTAACTGAAGAGAGGTTACGCATTGACGGAAAAAAGGTAAAATTGCCACGTGATTGTTGGGGAGTGTGGAAATAAATTAGGCGAATAGCGAGTTTAACTAGAGTTAAGTTAAATAGAACCAAGAGTATGAATGTTTGGTTAGTTGGGTTTTGTTTCATGGCTTTAACATAGAAAAGTTATATTATCGATTTTATTATTTTTTTAAAAAAAGTGGGTAAAAAATTATTATTTTTATTAAAAAATATTTTAATATTTTTGATAAAGTGACTATTAATAATAAAATCGACAATATTTTATCGGATATATTAATAAAATTAATAAAACGTTCAATAATAATAAAATTAATAAAAATAATAATATTTTCAATAAATTTTTATTGATTTTATTAAAAAAATAATAAAATTGATAATATTGAAAGTTGAAACTCCACACGCACTTTCCTCTAGAGATGCAAAAAAAACCTTGCACAGAAGAGGCCAGAGGGCATCTATTGTGAGAAACTTCTTTCATCTCTCTTTCCTTTTTCTCTTTAGGAGAACAAATAGTGGTGACGCGTGGCAAAGTGGGATGGATACGTGGAAAGAAGATGACGGCACGTATAGGGGGAAGTGGGAATTAGAAAAAGTGGGCAGCTGAGAATGTTCGGATGAATTGGGGGAAGAGGCAAAAGGAGGATTACGTGGTGAAGGTAGCATGGGTAATGCATGGTTTTTATTACATTTGGCGCCACGCATGCATGAAACGCAGAAAGAAAAAAAGATGGGGGTGGGGATTGTATGGTTTCGCAGTTCAGACCTTGCATGGTGTTTTAATTTCAAGGTTTTGGGGGATAATATTATTTCACATATTAACAATGGAGTTTTAAATTTCCATAAGCATGGTGTATTTTGACCTCTTTAATAAGAAAAATGTTATTTTTCTTAAAAATTTAAATTCAAACAATTTTTTTTATAAAAATATAAATTATCACTTTAAATAAAATATTTTATAATTACTATAAACAATTTAATTTTTTTTCTATAAACATGATAGGATAGATAACGTGTGTTAAACTCCACATATAAACTTAATCATATGTCACATGTCCTTAATATCATTTAAATGTTTATTAACAAACTGAAGAATGTAATAAAATGTATCAATTATGTAGATGCTCGTTTTTGTCCGGGGCCAAGTCAGAGCAAACTCGAAGCAGAACAGTTGGAGGCCCAATTCAGCGATCCAACTTCTAGCCCACGTGAAGCCCTGAAAAACCAAAAAATAGTTATCATAAATTAATCAGTAAAAACTGTAAAAATGATGGTTTTTTTACTAGAAATTAACCACCAGAAATGTGGGACACGATCGAAAAATTACACAGGGAAGAGAGAAAGAAAAAAAAACAAGAAAGGACCAGAGATTAAAGAGGGGGTGGGGACACGAAACACAAAAAGAAGAAGAAGAAGAGACTTTTCAGACCAGAGAGAGGGAGGCAACTGAAGGAGAGAAAGCAGAGACCATTAAAAAACCAACGAAAAAACCAGAGAGAGAGGAAAAAAAAGGAGGGGTATTTGGATTTGTCATGGGAAAGCTGTAAAAAACAGGAGAACAACCATTCTAGATAGAAGAGGAGGATTTTCTCTTACCCTTGGAAAAACGAACAGAAACCATTGTAACAGAAGTATCCAAATTGTATTCAAAGGGCCGAGAAAGCAATAGAAATACGATTTGATTTGAGGTATTCTTCTTGGGGTCCTTCATTCTATTTCTATTTTTAATTTTTTTATAGTTTTCTTGGTGCATGATTGATTTATGTATCGAAATCAAAATACATACAAAATAGGAATTGCATGGTCTTTTATTTCTTTATTTTTGGTAATTTCTTCACCTATTTCAAACACAAAAACAACCTTCAAAATAACCATTCGGGTGTCCCAAAATCAGAAGTGAAACAAATAAGATGAGGGTCTTGATAGCTTACCTTGTAGTGCGTTGGGGTTTGGGGGTTGAACTCGTCGGTTAATGTCGTTGCATGTGGTCTTGGTGTTCGAGGGTTCTGTAATAGTAAAGATAGACGAGAAGTCAGGGTCTAGATTTGGTTTAGTTTAGTCTCGGCCATGGAGTATCTTGGAGTGAGCTGCATCATGAGTGGCAGCCATGGAGGCTTTGGTTTAGTTGGCGAACGACGCTTTAGCCGAGAGGTGAGGTTTAGAGAAATGGTGAGTGTTGGGTGGCCGGTTGTTTAGTTTTGGTAAGTTTAGGTTAGGTTCATTTTTAGTTTAGATTTTATATTAAGTGTTTTGGGTAAATTAGCTTTTAGTCATCATACTTGTTAGGGTAAATTATTTTTAGGTCATCAAAATTTGTAAGTTTAGAATTCTGTTCCTTTATTTTTATGTACGTTCAATTTCAATCCCATGCAACATTATTGTATCTAACTTCTGTTGTTTTAGACATTTAATTTCTAATGCGCATGTTTCATTTAGATCCCTACTTTAGATTTAACTTGTATGATGAATTTTATAATTATTTAAATTTAGTCATTATTTTAACATGTATATATATACACTTTTTAACATTTGTAGTTTAGCATGTCATGTTTTTATTTTTATATTTAAGTCACATTTGTATATTATAGGTTAGTATGCATGGTTTATAATTTTAAATTTAGAAATATATGTATATATATATATATATATTTTTTTTATATGTCACGTTGTATGGCATTTTTGATTTTGTTTAATTAATTTTGGTATGACATTTTTTGCACAATTTGCATGATAGCCCCACATACATAACTCGGCCTATTACATAATCGGACTAAGGGTAATACCCTTTTAATTTAAAATTGTCTCGAGTGGCCTGTCTTAACTGATTAGAGGGCAGTTTTGACTATTTTAAATTAAAAGTGTATCCCGAAAGTGAAACCAAAAAATTGATTCGTCACTTAAAATTTGGGAACGAAAGAAAATGAAATGTTCGTTTATTTAAATTTATCGAGAAAAGGTTATTATAGCTTTTAAGATCTGGTCTCGATATTTGTAAATAATCGAACATTCTTTATCTTTCTAAAACAACTCGGTAATTTTAATTTAATTTATTTGAGTGCTTTTGAATATTGTAAAATTCATATTTGTTGTTTTATGGGATTAAAAGTCAAATTAAATTTGAATTTGTAAAGTTCATTGCAAAGACGTTAATTAATCGACTAGGTACCGATTTAGGGCGTTGTGGGAGTGCTAATCCTTCCCTGCACGTAACTGACTCCCGAACTTGGATTTTGGTAAAGCGGACCTTAATTTGTTGTTTTAATTAAAATTAATTTTTATTTAAAATAATAAACATTTTTGGGTGCCCAATTACACCCTAATCAAAGATTGGTGATGACTCTTTGAATCGTATTTTTTTCGATCGTAAAGGAAATTTAATTTTTTTTAAACGAAAGGTTTTTAAATTGCATTTGTTTTTAAATTAAAAATCAATTGAAAGAGATAATTCAAAAATTGATGTGGTTTTCAAAATCTCACATTTTCACCTTTAAGAAAAAAATCGTTTCGACAGCTTGGCGACTCCGCTGGGGACTTTTTTTTAGAGAGTCAGGCCGATAGTCGATTAATTAAATGTCTTTGCAATTGAAAGTTACAAATTTGTTTTAATTTGGTTTTTTATCCCTTGTTTGGTTTTTAATAAGTTTTGTTTGTATTTTGATTTAATTCGATTAACAATTAAATAGTTGTATTGATCTGTTTGCTAATGGTTTCAGATTATTTGTGAATTGAGAATTGATTTTTGAGTGCTTTTATTATGTGTTTTTTCGCTTTTCCTCACACACTGCACAGTTGCATTATCATAACATGAGCTAAAACCCCGCTCCGTCCTATTTAAGTAGGAGTGAGAGACTATGCCCTCGTGTGGTTTTCACCTCCGCATGGGATAGTGGATCGCTCCTGGAGCTCACGCCTTATGGTCCTCGTGATGGTATTCACCTCCGCATGGACATAAGGAGGTGTGTTCCATCGAAATTGAACTCGATCCCCTAAAGCCTGTGATGGGCCAGGATTGAGGGTTCGGCAGCCCAAGGGGGCACCAGCAAGGACAATTCGAGAACCTCTTTAGAACCGAACTCAGCATATAGTGAACATAGAGCCCAATTTTAGGTCGAGCCTAACCTAAACCTTAAGAATCCCGTGAGGAGGGAACACAAGGAAAAGCTTTTTGAGTCATTTAATTTCGTTTTTTGAATAAATGTATGTGAACTAGAAATCATGCGGTTAGGTTTATTTTTTTGAGCATGTATGCGAACTAGAAATCATGCGGCTAGGTTTATTTTTCTCGAAGCATG